CGGCCTGGGTCCCGGCCTGCGCCGCCCGAGCCTCCGAGCCTCCCGAGGGCTGTGCTCGAAATCCCGGAGAGGTGTTTTTTCCCCGTGAATGATGAACACGACACGGTCCGTGCCTCAAGGCAGCGGTTGAACGTGAACCTGAACTTGATTCCGTTTTTGCTGTGGGTGGGTGGTTGCCGTCAGGAGAGGAGGAGTCAGCGCTTGAGGGAGAGAGAAATGAGGTTGCCCTGGACCACCCAGTAGCGGGGGAAGCCCGGGGGAGCGGGAAGAGTGAACAGAAGACGAGGTCGGCAGGTGCTGGGCAGGTGGAAGGGCAGGCGGCTGTGGGGTCGCAGAGGTGCCCCGGGTCCGTTTCAGGGTGGGGCCGTGTAGCTGGGTGAGGGGTCCAGGGCGGGGCAGGGGAGTGGGAGGCCAGAGCTAGGTGGAGGCCAAGTGTTGGAGCTGGCCCAAGAAGGGGGTGTGTGCGTGTGCGCTGGGACAAGGACGTTGGTGGCCCCGTGGGGATTCTGAAGTAAGGACAGGCTTGTAGAGGTGAGAGAGGAGGAGATGGCATGCCGCTCCCAGGTGCCTGGAGCCGGAGGAGGCGTGAAGAAGGGGCCACCGGGCAGAGGTGTCTCTGGGCCTGGGAAGAGGCTGGCAGGGCGGCCAGTCACCACGTCGCGGCCGCGTTTGGGAACAGGCTCCACCCGCTGTGTGTGAGGGGCGGTGCCTTGCGTCCAGGTGAACGTCAGAGGTCTTGGTGGAAGGCTGTGGAGGGTCCACACTCCCCCTCCCTGCTCCCTCCCAGGCCTTGCAGAAGACATCGGACCTTGACTTAGAACGATGAGTTGTTGGCCCGTCTGGTGAACAGGCTGGTCAGTGTGATGAGTGAAACACGTGGTGTGGGTTTCTGACCCTGTCAATTAGTAGAAGGACTGTCACTTATGGGGCGCACTTGTGTGTTCCAGGCTCTGTGCTGGGAACCTTCTGTCCATTCCTTTTTCTTTCTCCCCAGAACATTAACAGAAGGTGTAAGAGAGAAAGATTGCCCCTCCGCCCTTCTAGCCTTGATGGCTGGATCTATACAACCAACTGACAACAGGCAGAATGGCAGGAGGCAGGGTATACAAATGCATTAATGTTTAATATCATACGCATGGGGCATCACAGGAAAAAGTAAAAGTGAATACTCAAAAAGGTGGTGCGATCTGAGAGCATATACACAGTCCCATCGTAATAGGAGCGGGGAGTGACGTCGAGGAGAGTGAATGCTTGGAGGACAGATGGGTGGGCCTCTCGGGGAACAGACGCCAGGTGTGGGAGTTTGTGACACCTCGGAGCGTGGGGTCCACTTCTCGTCCCCCTCCTGGGGTGGGAGGGCCCTTCTGTGCTTGATAAGACTCCCAAGGAGGGGATTTAGGACTCCGAGTTCCATGTGGAGGATTTGCCTTGGGGCAGACGGGCAGATGGGGCTGGGGAAGAGGGTACAGGGAAAAAGCGCCTCCTTGCATTGGCTGTTATTCAAGTGCCTTCAGCTCACAATGACCAATACATCAAAGCAGCATCTTTCAGGGTGACAGGTTCTGAACTCCTCCAAAGGCAATGACGTTTCCTACTTACGGATGAAAATGATGCAGCTCGGTAGAAACTTTCTTCTCCAAAGTCACACGTCCAAGATAACTGAGCTGGGGTTCGAGGCAGGCCTCCCCAGGACCAAGCCCACGTGCGCCCTCCACGTGGGCAGGCTTGCTTCCCTGGGCCAGTGGAAATTGGGGGGAAGAAACCCTTTACGGTAGCACAGGTCAACACACGGGTGTCCTCGGTACCGGCAGCCCGGCCACTTCATTGGTTCCTGGACTCACACAGAGAACTTGGAAAGATGGTTTTATGCCACCATGGTACATGTGTGCCTGTTGTGATGACTGTGTTTGTGTCCTCGTGCTGTTGTTGGTATTGTCTCTTATGAAGTTGAAGGCAGCACAGTCAACCTCTGCCTGTCTACTGCTGGGAGAAAGACATGTCAGGCTACCGTTTGTCTGGGGGATGTCTCTAGGCCAAGGGTCAACATCCTTGTAGAAATGGTCATCATCCTTTTCATGACCCTTGTAACTCGAATGGCTCTAGCAGAATTATCCCGTGGAAAGGGACCTGTTCTCTCCAGCACGAATGCCAGGTTTCGGGGAGCAATTGCCTTAGTTTGAAGGAACCACCTTCTGGAGAGCGGCAGGCAGGCAGAGTTGTTCCAACCCTGTCACAGACTGTTCGTGGTTTCAGGCAGTCTCTCCTCTACACCTTAGTGTTTCACCTGGAGAGTGGAGCTAAGACCACCTGCCTCAGGGTGTCAGAGGGTTAAAGGAATTGGCCCCTGGCGAGCTCTCAGCGCAGCGCCTGAAGCGGAGCCACGGCCCGTGGTGGCTGTCACCACAAGCACTGGTGCATCCACTGCTATGTTCACTCAACTTGAATACTGAATGTAAGCAACCCCCTCAAAGTCAGTGGCAGTGACTTGGTAGCTCTTTAATCAGTTGTGTATAATATGCGTATGTCCTCAACACAGAGCTTTCTTTGGGGATGGCACATTTTGGAGGGCTCAGCTCTTGGGTATACGATGCACTAGGTAAGCGCTGGATGTGACAAGGCGGATTGCTTCTTTTCTAATAGAGTTCTCTCTTTGTCCACCTCTCTGGGCTTTTTGCAGGAGGAATTTGATGGGATCCTGAGAGAGGAGGTTGTGGCTGGAGCACTCCACCACCTGGGGCGCTCAGGCTCCGGGACCGAGCAGGTCTACCTCAACCTGACTTTATCAGTGAGTATGAACCATCACTATTGGCTGCCACAGCTTGACCCTGGCTAGACATACTCATTTTCCTTGGTACTCGCAGCTTTTGTGGTGGTAGCAAATCTCAGAGCCTTGCATTTGATGGAGACCAGTGATACAAGATACTTATGTAAATATTAGACTTCAAAGAGCCCTGGCCAGTTCAGAAATCAGCCCCCAAATGCCTTTGTTTTCATTCCCTTCACACTCTGCTTCTTTCATCTTAAGTCATCTATGTTATAGTAATCAATGCCTTCTTTCCAGGAGGTTGAATTTGATTCTGTAAAACCAATCAAAGACTCTTTAAGAATGTTCTCTCTGATCAGTGGAAGCAGCACTAAAATGTATATCTGAATCCAAGGGAACAAAGTATTTTGATATTGACTTTCCCCCCTAAGTATGTCAAGAAATAAGTAGCTTTGAGCGATGTCTTACTTTCCAAAAGCTACCTATCATTAAAGAAAAAGATCTATTGTTATGCATCAGTTTACAAGGTTTCAATACTAGTCACAGAGCAGCACAAAATTCTGGCTCCAATTTTATCCTAAGAAGCTGTAAGAGCAGACTGCTCAGAGTGTGTCAGCCTTTTTCCTTGTTTCATTTCTCTGTAGACCTAGAAAACAACTTAACTCTTTTTGCTTTCTTATACTGTAAAGCATTCAACATTCCTTGGCAACCCACAGAGTAAAGTGAGATACATGGGTGAAAAGAAGCACCCTGAGATTTCACTGTAGCACCATGGTTTGGCCCAAGTGTATGTATCTCATTGTAAGACTGTTCTGTCTTGAACTGAATTAGTAAACTGTTCCCGAAGTGCTAAGCTGTTTCACCTGTGCTGGCTCCATGGCATCACCTTCAAGGTCAGCATATTAAGACTGTAATCTTTTTCTATTTTCACTTTATAACATCTTATGGATGACTCAGCCAGTCATGCAATAACAGACAGAGAGGACCCTGTGTGCATTGCTCTATGTGAGACGATTCGATTGGTGTGCCATTCCAGCAGCCAGTGCGTCCTCACACAGGTGCCTTTCAGTCAATAGTCTGCTTATGTGCGTAGTGCCTTGCCTTAAATTGATCTTCCCAAAAAGCAATCCTTTAAATCTTATTTCAGTCAGATGGACTGAAGCTTAATTTATTTTACCACTGACCTCCTTACATTTGAGATATTACATGTTGAATTAGTTTGCCTTAATAACCTGTCTTACCAAATAGGCTTTTTTAGGTCACCCGGCTATTTTTCCCTTTATATGTTACTTAAGTTACATGTAATTTTTTTACTTTCTGTCTTCACATGTGTACATATTTTCTCTCTACCAAAGTCATACACGTCTTCAGAGTGTGTATACCTCTGTTCTGTTGTCGTGTTTCCCGTTGTGCCAAGCACAATGCCTTGTATGTGTTAGGTTTTCAGTAAGTGCTGACTCATGCCTGTTCCAGCGGCCTTCATTGAGCCATTGTCGTTATTCCACATGACAGCTTGCTCATGACTCTTCATTGGTTGACTCTTTTGTGTGACTCTGACTTCATAGCATAAACCAATCATATAAGTATTTGTTCCACGGAACCAAACTCCCCATCCTCACTTGAAGTTCACTAGAAGCAAGATTTTGTGGAAAGGAATTTGGACGAGGCCTTGGGGCACCTGGATGTGCTGCTTCTCTGTCACTCAGTGGCTCATTGGCTCATGGCTCCAGGCTCCTAGACACCTCTCTGAGCCTGACACTCCTCACCTCTGAGCTGGGAGTCACATGCCCCTCAGATTTCACAGTGTCGGACTAGATGAGGCTATTGTGAAAGCGCTTTGAAACAAACCCTGTGAAAGTGTGGGTAGTATTGTTATGACTGATCCCTGATCAGGTGTGAACTCTGTTTAAAACTTCATTTAAATTCTAGGCTTTTTCTTTTTCTTGTCTTCTACCTGATAAAGGCCTTGTCTTTATTGCTATTATGTGTGTGTGGTTTTGTTTTGTTTTTTTTTAAATATAAAACTCCGCTCCCGCAGTCTCCATGAACATTGCTTTAATTGGCTTTTTCATGTTGCGTTCATTCCTTCTAACAACACTAATTTCCTAAGCTATTATTTTCTTCAAATGGATGCATTTTTGTGTTGGGATCTGTCGTCTGTTTTAAGAGCCTATTAGTAGTAGGCTTCAGATTTTGTTCTCATATCTCCTATACCTTTGAAGAAATTCTGGGTTTCTTTCCCTGAACTATCATTTCCAGATGTTGTGAGAAGGCTAAGTTAAAGCCATAGTGAAATCTTTTACCTTTTCTTTTCTCAGGGTTGTGATTTAATTGACATTAGCATTCTCTGTGAATATGTTCACCTGCAGAAGTTGGATCTTTCGGTAAATAAAATTGAAGGTATGTAATTGTCATTTTAGATCAATCACTGAATTCTGTCAAAATTTAAACATTGCAGTATGTAACATAGTTTAATACTAACCAACTTTGATAAAGTAATTTGTGGATCAATGTAGATATTGATCCTTTACTTTCCATGCAAAAAAGTCACCAGTGACTAATGGAAGAGGAAAAGGCACAGTCTGCAGTGTGTATATATATATATATATATATATATATATATATACACACATTTATTTTATTTTTTTCTTTTTTTTGAGTTGGAGTCTCACTGTGCCGCTCACCTGCTGGGCTCAGGTGATCCTTCCACCTCAGCCTTCCAAGTAGCTAGAACTACAGGCGTGCACTACCATGCCCAGCTTATTTTTTAATTTACTGTAGACATGAGGTTTCACCAAGTTGCCCAGTCTGGTCCCAAACCCCTGAGCTCAGGCAGTCCTCTCGCCTCAGCCTCCCAGACTGCTGGGATGACAGGCTTGAGCCACCGTGCCCGGCCAACACAGTCTGTAATATTATGATGGGTTGAGATGCACCCCATGGAATTTAAGAGCATGAGATGGAATGTTTGTTTTATTTTTCCCTTTTGAGAGATCGATCATGACTTCTTCAAATTCCCTAAATGTTTGCCGATTCCTTTTCTTTCCCTTGATTATGCACTGCAGATGAATTAGTCTTATTTTTCCTTTAATGGATTCTTTTTTTATTTGCTTTTTGCATGTTAAACCTGGTTAGCTCTTCTGTTCTTATTTTTTGAGTACCAGGGGTTCACAAGTTTGTTTTCCCCCTCTTTTTACTGTTTGTATTTATCTAGTTGATTCTTTCAACTCTAACTCACACCATTTGTAATTCCATATGATGTATTTGTTATGACACCTTGTTCACATTTAATGAAATTAGTCCTACACTCATCACATTTTCTTCAAAGCTTGATCCTTGTTTCTAATTTTCTGATCTTATTTGAAGTTGACAGTGTTCCATTTTTTTCCTTTAGACTTCTAGGGAAGTAAGCAAATCATTACTTCTGACGTGCTTTCTTCTCTGATAATTTTTTTTTACTTGTTTTGTGAGCCTTTTTAAATGACAATTAAGCATTGCTAATATGGTCTTCCCTCTGAGTTTTCTGATAACCCTCCATACGACTCTAATAATTAAAATTCACTCTTTTCACTGGTAAAGAAATATTCTAGCCTGTTTTTATTCTGAAAATGCTACTGTTTTTGAAAGACTCTAATTGTTTCTTGTTTTATAAATCTCTATTATGGAAAGTTACAAGCATGTGCACAAATAGAGAGAATACTGGAATAGAGCTTTGGGTTCAGCAATTATCCCCCAGCCTATCTCCCTGCCCCCCTTCCCCCTCAGAGTCATTTAAAAGCAAATCTCAGATTGTCACCTCATCAGAAAGCCCTTTTGTACCTCCAAGACTGGTTTTATTGACTGGATAAAGAATGTCAGAGTGGTGGGATGCTCTGACAGTGTCAGGGACAGACTGCCCCTCCCCCCACCTCTTGAGTCCTAATCAGGAAGTCCAGTTAAGACAGAAGGTTCTGCATCAGCCAGACTGGGCAGCAGTCACCTTGCATGGCCATTTCATTAATCCATCAAGTGTGTACGAGTACGGTGTATTTTCTTTTTGTGATGACAGCCTTATTGATGTTCTGAAGAGCAAATTTCAGGGGCATGTTAAACACAGATTGCTATCCTCCCCTTCCCCCCCCCCCCCCCCCCCAGAGTGTCTGGTTTGTAGGACTGGGTGGGGTGTGAGGATTTGCACTTTAAGTAAGCTCCTGGGTGAGACTGAGGCTGCTGGACCAGGACACACCTTGAGAACCTCTGCCGGACACAGGGCGCTCCTGCCACCTGGTGGACGAGAAGGGCAGTGCACCGAGCAGGGATGCCCAGCCTGCCCAAGTTCAGGTCCAGCAACCCAGACCAGTGATTGGTAGGATGATTTGGAACATCGGCCATCTTCAGAGCGTGAGATGCTGTCACCTCTGTCTCTAGCTCAGGCCTAGCTGCTGTTTCTGCCGCAAGACAGATCTCCATGGGACCAGCATTTACCAGCACAGAATGATCAGCGGCATCGAGGGGAAGTTAACAGTTGAGACCATTCCTGACAGACCTGAAGCCGGGCTCAGGAAGGACAGTAGAAGCAAAGTGTAAAGCAATCGTGCTTTTTCGTAGGTTTCCTCTAACAGGCAGCCTGCCTTGATCTGCTCGTTAATTTCCACCAAAGTGTTCTTGTCTCAATGTATTGTCTCTCCTAGAACTATCTACATTTTCAAACGCAGGGTATGGCTTAGTCCAGAGAAATAAAGTAAACATTGGTGAGAATTTCCTGGCGTTAGTGGCCTCAGAGAGGAGATGCCAGGAGGTCCTTCACATTGGCTGTCCGCCCACCCTGTGAAAGACCCCCTGCTGGTCCAGGCTGTTTTCCTTCTCCTAGTTGGCTGTGTCTGTCACCTGGTGAAAGGCAGACGTGCTTGCTTGGCCTTGGGTGTGGAGCCTGGATCTCCCACCAGGGGCCATCCCCAAGAGGTTATAACTGCTCATTCTATGATCTAGAATGAGAAGAGTGAGGGAAACACTGTTCCTATTATTGTTTTCAGTAGAGACATGAGCTGCAACCGGGCTGTGACCCTTGTGTGATTCTTCTTGATCCCTGCCTTACTTCATTCTGTGACCCCATGTCTGTCGGTATAAAGGGTAGAGAAAGGCAGCACGGTAGCTCACAGCTTTTATGTTTCACATGTAATTTCACCAGCAGTGTCCTTTATGAGCACAGCAGTCCTTTACTCAGTATTCCAGATTTAAAATATTTGCTTGGGATAAAATGCAAAACTCAGACATACTTTTGAACCAATCCAGAGTCAAAGCAAAATAGCAACAGTGATTTCAATCACATCAAATAATTAATGAGATTTAGCATTAAGTCCAACAGAAACAAAATTTAATTTACAACAAAGAGAGTTTCTTAATTGTGGCATTTCCAGTCTTTTTGCAAGATCTAATTTAGTTATTTAGGGGCTAATTATCGAGAGGATTATCTGAGGCTTCTCATCCTTTCCTTGAAGTTGGCAAGTTTTGAAACTTGTGATTGTCAGCAGATCGTGGGAGGGTTTGGGGGCGGGAGAGGCTGCGGTGTTGTTCCTGGCTGCCCTGGACCTCGGGGGTGAGGAGGCTTTAAACTATGGGCTCATGGAGAGTTTTCCACACTTATTTGCAGATTTCACACACTCCTGATGGTATTCGTTTCACTCTTCTGGAATAATTAAGATGTGCTCTGCCTTTGTCTGGTTATCTTATTGGTGTACCTTATTCTGTATCTGTTTCCCCGCAGATTTGTCTTGTGTGAGCTTCATGCCTTATCTTCTAGAACTCAATGCTTCTCAAAACAAGCTGACGAAATTCTTCAATTTTGAGCCACCCAAAAATCTCAAGGTAGACTTCATCAATACACTAATTACATGTTAAGTCGTTTTCAGAGTGTACTAAATAAGCATAACAGCCATAAAATAGAAGATTCAGAGAGAATAAGACGTAAGGTAAGGAGTGTAAGTGTCTGAAATGAAATAAACAGCAGGCTCTGTGTCTCATTTGTTTTGAAGCAGGCAGGTGGTCTGTCAGCGGTGGTCTTTTTGGGAAGCTTTGCTCAAGCCTGGTTTTCAAACCAAAGGACTTCCTTCCAGTCTCCTCTGCTCCTCATTTGAATAGTTCTCACTGCATTTTTTTGGTGTGTGTTAACAGAAGAGTGTTTTTAAATGTTTATAGACAAATTTCATTTATTTAAATAAGTACATTTTATTGAGATATTTGATATATACAGCATGATGTTGTAGGACATATAGCAGAGTGTTTTTATTAGAAAAATTTAATGTCTGAAAAATTTGTCAACATTTTCAGGGGCTCAGACTTTGCCCGTATTTATCCAGCTTTACTGCTAAGAAAATGTTTTCCAGTCTCCATTCTTCCTCTCTACATGTGGCTTTTGCATTTCTGAAGCAGAAGTAAACCACCTGCAAACAGTGGTGGAGGGACCATTTGCCTGCCCTAGAGCAGTCTCCTGCTTAGATGTGTGCCCCTGTCACCAGTGGTCCTTGTAAAGAGGAGACTGTGACCCAGCGGGTCTGGGTGGGGCCTGAAACCAGTGATCATTGCTGCTGGCCTGTGTGCCACACTGAGTGGCGAGATCACAGAGAAGTGGTTCCCAGACTTCACACACTGGAATCCCTGGAGCAGCCGTGAAAACACTGGTACCTAGATCCCACCCCAGAGATTCTGGTCTTGGTGATCCGAGGAAAGACTTTGGACCTTTTAAAAGATCCCCAGGGTGCTCCCATGTGCTGACGATGTGGGAACCATTGCCACAAAGTGTGTGATTATTGTTCCTCTGTCAGATTCAAATAGTAAATTAAAAAGTTATTTTGAGGAGTGGACACCAGCTATTGCCTTTCATTATCTATTAATTCTGTTTTATTTACAAATCAAGTTGACTTAGATCTAAAATATTCTGCGGAGGCTTGCACAAATACAAAAATCTGTCTGAAATCAAAAAGCAGCCATGCGCTGTGCTGACAGTGAAACACTTTAGTTTTTCCTCTGTGGTTTCACATCACTCCATCTTTATGGAGAGTGTGTTTTCCCCTTTGAAGTTACAGTGATTGCCAGGGTGACATCCTTTGTCCACACAAACCACACGAGGGTCCTGCGTGGTCTGAGGTGGTCAGGAGCTATGTCTGCACAGCAGTCTCTACTCTGTTCTTTGCTGTCCCATCCACCTGCCTGGACCCAGAGAGACCAGACATTGTGACAGCATGACCCCTACCCTGGGAAGAACTTTTGTGGAGTTTCTTCCCTTCTTACCCCACCTTTCCCTCTCCCAGAAAGACCCCACAAGTGAACAAAACCCAATATGACCCCATCTTTACATCCCAAGCTCCTGGAGAGTGGGGAGCAAATCTATTGGAAACTTTGGAGACGTGTGTGCCATGTGCCAGATGGAGGCTCTGTGTGGGCCTGGGAGGAATGGGGAGGCCTTCTGGCGTCTCCATGTGTGATCTTGTCGAATCCCCTGATAAAGCCGTGGGTTGGCTGACCCTCCCCTGGTGCAGGTGAGGACACTGCAGCACTGAAAGCATAGGTCACCTCCCCTTTTGCTGGGAAGGAGCAGAACTAGGATTGAACCCCGTGTCCAAGACCCGAAAGCTGTGTCTCTCCGGTCAGTTGGTCTTGGGCACCATGCTCCACATTCTTGAGAAGCTCTGCTATTCCACTGCCCAGAGAGAGCACACATGTCCTAGAGAGCAGGGCCTGGAACTTGTACTCACTGCACTTGCCAGAGCACTTCTGCATTCGCCATTGCTCTTAGTAGGTGAGAAATGTTAGTTTGATTTGATGGCTGCTTCCTTGAATCCCTGGGTTCCGGTGTGAGTCGGAACAGGATCACAACCTCAAGGTTGCAGCAAGCCTAGCATCATGGACACACAGCAGGTGGAGTCTGGCAGACAGCTCAGACTGCAGTGTCATTGCGCAGGTGTCATGCTGCTGCACACGAATGGTGCTGATGAAAGGCGTCATTGGGAAGTAAGCCCAGGTCACAACAAGCTCACTTGTAGTTCATTGTTCTTATACAGAAGAAAAGTGAATGTTAACCTCTGTGTACATCATGCCAAACCAGCTCATTTTGCATAGCTGCCATTTGTGTATGTATACATTTGGTGTTAGGGTTTTTATTTGTACATTTCTGTTTCTTCATGTAGACTTGTATTCTACTGACTATGTAGTCCTGTTGCTACATTGTACTTGACTTAGCCAGTTTTCTACCCTTGCCACTTTCTAAATTGTTGTGAGTATTTAATTTATAAAATGTTTAGTATTTAAGTATTTAGCTTTTTTTTTTTTTAAGTTGAGGTCTCACTCTGTCACCCTGGCTAGAGTGTGGTGGCACGACCACAGGTCGCTGCAGCCTCCATCTCCTGGGCTCAGGCGATCCTTCCACCTCAGTCTCCTGAGCAGCTGAGACTGTAGGCACATGCCACCACACCCAGCTAATTTTTTGATTAATTGTAGAGATGAGGTCTCACCAAGTTGCGCAGTCCCACGGACTCAGGCAGTCCTCTCACCTTGGCCTCCCAAAGTGCTGGGATTATAGGTGTGAGCCACTGCTCCCGTCCCTCTTTCCTTTAAAAAAAAAAATTAAATATTTTGCCAGTAGATGAATAATCATTTAATGTTGTTTTTTAGTCTCATATTTTTTTTTAACTAGGAACAACAGATGTTGCTGAAAATGCTTTCCCACAATAGTCAATTTTGAGGAAGAATATAAAGCGGAGAGGTGTGGCCTGAGAGATGACCAAGAAAGACTGTTCTGGCATTTAGGGAGTGATGGGGACAGTGTGCTCAAACAGGAGCAGATGAGGTGAAGGAGAGGAAAGCAAGACGCATTGGGCATTACAGGGAGTGGAATTCTGGTGGGCCCGGGTTAAAGTGAGGCCAGCCCTGCAGGAGCTAGGAAGTTTAAAATAACGGCTGGGATGGAGAGAGCTGCTGCAGGAACTGAAGGCGCTGGGGCTGTCAGGGTCCCTGTGGGCCAGGTGGAAGGGTCTCCTCTGCAGAGTCCCTCACATGCAGCTGGGACCCTGTGAGGAGGGGCTAGAGACAGAGGTGTCTTCGCCCTTGGCAACTCAGTGGCAGATTCCCACTCTGCCTCCAGGGATACCTCCTCCTCCCGCAGGTACTGGGAGTGTCTGCACGAAAAGCAAAGCTAACGTGCTGTTTGTTCTCTTTCTTGCCAGAAGGTGGATTTTTCCTGCAACCAGATTTCTGAAATGTGCGATTTGTCAGCGTATCCTGCCCTCACTACACTAATTTTGGACAGTATCCTTTGAATCAGTAAAGGGGAACCTTAAGGAATTAGAAACTAAAGGCTGCATATTAAAAAATGTGAGTGGAACAGAGCTAGATAAGCACTTGACTAGAGATGTGTGATTTACCGTAATGATCAAGAATGGATATTCACAAAATGAGGAATGATGTTTTATTTACTGGGCAAGAAAACTGCAAGTCAAACCTTGCCAAGAGTATATTATCTCCCCAAAGCTAAGTGAGATAGTTGTTCTTCCAATAAATAGGTTTGTTCTTAAGTTAGAACCAGCGAAGTCCTGTTTCAAGTAACTCTTATATTCAAATTTACTTAAACTTGTGCCCTATTTTCTATGAATTTAGTATTTGAAAATCTAAGTGTGGTCATAAGGAAAATGAGTGACTATTTATTTTGCAAAAGAGCTCCCATTGCCTTTAAGTAACAAGGCTTTCTAGTGAGTTTGAAATACACTTTCACTTTTTTAAAAAATTTTTTTATTTTTTGAGTTGGAGTCTCACTCTGTCGCCCAGACTGGAGTGCAGTGGCTGCTCCCAGCCACCGCAGCCTCGCCTGCTGGGCTCCGGCGATCCTTCCGCCTCAGCCTTCCGAGTAGCCGGAATTACAGGCATGCGCTACCACGCCTGGCTGATTTTTTGATTTATTGTAGAGATGAGGTCTCGCTGCCCAGGCGGGTCTCAAACCCGCAGGCTCAGGCAATCCACTCACCTCAGCCTCCCAAAGGCGCGGGATTACAGGCTGAGTCACCGAGCCCGGCTCACTTTCACTTTTTTTAAAGATTCTCAGCTGACTTTAGGAAGAAATGTGTCTCCTGCCCCAGGCTCCCTTCCAGGAGTCACAGGGATCTGTGAGGTTAGTGAGCTAGAGCCTCTTCTTTGCACCAGACAAGGACATCCTCTGGGTGACCAGGGCGTGGTGCCCTCTCTCTCTCAGTGTCTTCCCACCACCTGAGGATCAGGGCAGAGTGAGTGTGAGCTGATGGCCCCAGGGCCCACGTCAGGAATGTGCGGCCACTCACGCATGACTTGAAGACATATTTTGTAAAAACAAAACCCTTGTCTTCTTCTCTGCTGGAAAGCTCAGAACTCAGCACCACTGCCTGTAGGACGTGTGTGAAAACGAACAATGAGATGGTGCTTGTGTGAGCAGGTTCTTCTGACTGTGCCTAACGTAGGAATCCGGGATGGCCAGGATGGCATGTTCTGACAGCAAGCTGGAAGTGTGTCCAGAGCACATCTTCTCCAGGACTGTCAGGCCGAGTTCAACTATCTCAGTAAAGAATTTGCAAAGAAGCAGCTGAACTGCTGGAAGCTGGTTCCAAAGCCTGCCCATCTCAGGCTGAGCAGCAGAGCACAGCCCCAGGAGCACCACTGGCTCCATGGCCCGGGACTGCTTGGAGATGCAGACTCTTGGGCTCCACCTCAGAATTTGCATTTTCATGGGACCCCAGACACCCCAAGTGCACATGGCAGCTGCAGGAGCACTGGTTGGTCTGGAAGTCAGCAGTCCCCTAAATGCCTGTCAACCCCAAGGGTTTCCATAACCAGAGCCCCTTGGAATCCCTCAGGGGACCTGAGGGCATGGTAATGGGCGTCTAGGGTGGGACGTGTCCCCTAGAAAAACATTCTTCTATGTTTTGGCGTGGAATTGCCAAAGAAAACATTATAGTGTTTTGGACTCAAAATATAGTTTAAAGCATCTCTGTCATGAGAGTCTTCATGTCCGTGTAAAAACTAAAGTATCATGACTTTGTAAATGTCAAAGATCATGAAAAAAGAAATTAGTCTTGTTTTTAACCTGATGTTGGATGTGGCACTGAAGGCTTATCATCAAAGTATAAAAAGCTGTAATTATTACACCACAACCAATTGAAATTCAGGCCATGGGCATATAATTAGAGTGTAACATGGCATTATTCTCACCTGTGTTTTTAAAAATGCAGACAAGTAGCCAAACCAAATCACCCTTCCTAGACCATTAATGAAATAAACTTCTTAGGTATCTCAGTCTTGAAAAGATGGTAAGACAGTTTCAAAACAGCACTAAATATATATCTCTTTCTTTTTTGTTCTATTTAAGCTTATTATATTGTGATAAATACAATTGTGGAGTTTTATATATTCTTCTGGATAGCTGAAAGCAAAAATATATCTGGAAAGATTATAAATTAGAAAGAAAGCACTTACATTAGACTATATTTTGAAAATACTAGAAAACATTGAGATTTAAAAGGGTGAATTTTAAAACAACTTTGATACCGTATATTTGAAAATGTAGATAAATGGAAAAATTCATAGAAAAATATTATGTACCAAAACACTGATTTGGAAATAGAAAGCCTAAGTAGTCCTGTAACTATAAAAGTAATTCACTACAAATTAAAATAGACTAAAATGAAAAATCTTCCTACAAAAAACCCCACCTAGATGAAAACTTAAGAACAGACCTTTCAAACATTAAAAATAGAAGGCATCTTCACACTCCATCCTAAAGAGTTTACTTTGATATCCAAACCAGACAAGAAACAGTAATAGACAGGAAAATGACAAGCTTATTTTACTCATGATGTAGGTGTAAAAGTCCTAGACAAAATAATAGCAACCGAATCTGACAGTGTATTGAAAAGAAATATACTATGACCAAATGGGGTTTTTCTCAGGAATGTAAGGATAGTTTAATATTAGAAAATCAACAAATGTCATTAACAATATTAAGACTAAGGGTTGTAAACCTTATGATCAATAGTTAGATGTGCTCAAAAGGTATAGAAAATTTAATAAAATTCAGCACTCTTTTACAATAAAAACTCTCAGTAAATTAGTAATCGGGAATTTTACAACTTGCTAAGGGATGTCTACAAAGATGTGTGAAACAAACTGTCCTCACTGGAGACATGTTCTGTCTGAGCCTTCTCCTTTACAATTGGAGCAAGTTAGGATACCCACTGTGGCCACCTTAACTCATTGTTATTTTGGAGGTCTTAGCCAGCACCATGAAACAAGAGAAAGAAATTAGAGGTATAAAACTGGTAAGAAGAAAATAAAAGTCATTCTTTGCAAATGACACGTTTATCTACAGAGAATATTTTTTTAAAACTTGCAATAAACTACTAGGAATGATAGAGTTTGAGAGTCCAACGTGGTGGCTGGATATGACTTTAGTAAACAGAAATCAATTGCATTTATCTACACCAGAGAGAAGTTGAGAGCAGTTATTTAAAATAAAAACAAATCAGTGAATCAGGCTAGTAGTACTGACAATGTGATTGTTGTAGAGTATATTAATACCGCAGAATGAATTGTTAACTGTAGGATATCAATTTTTATTTTATCTTATGCCATTCTGTCTTTCCACATGTGGATAATTGATGGTTAATTGATAATCATCCTAAATTGCAAGCTGACAGACTTTGCCAATGTTAAGTAAATGTGTTTATTCTTTTTTTTTTTTAAGTCAGAGTCTCACTCTGTTGACCAGGCTGGAGTGCAATGGCACGCTCAAGGCCACTGCAGCCTCGACCTGCTAGGATCAGGTGATCCTTCCATCTCGGCCTTCCAAGTAGCTGGAACCATAAGTGCGCACCACCACGACTGGTTAATTTTTTTTTTTTAATCAAAACCGTTCCCGAAAGACCCACATCACTTATTTATTGTAAAGATGAGTTCTCACCAAGTTACTCAGGGTGGTCTCAAACCCCTGGATTCAGGCAATCCTCTCACCTCTGCCTCCCAAAGTGCTGGGATTAGCATGAGCCTGTATTTATTCTTAAAAAAGAATGCAGTTTATTTTTTTACCTATAAACATTGACTGATTGTTAAGAATGCAGTTTATTTTTTACCTATAAACATTGACTGATTGTTAAGAATGCAGTTTATTTTTTACCTATAAACATTGACTGATTGTTTATTAAAATTTATGTTATGGTAATATAATATGGAATAAAAATTCATAGAATTTTAAATCCAGGCAGGATTTTGGAGACCACCTAGTGCTGACCATTATTTTATGTATTTTATGAAAGGAGAGGCTGAGACAGGAGGGCCAGCGGCTTGCCCAAGATGACCTGGTGGGGGGTTGAGCCGAGACTCGACTTCCATCACTTTCTCCCATGTTGCAATCCATTGGGTGATTAGTGCTTTCATCACATAGTCCTCTATCCTGTGTGCTGCTTCACTGCATAGAGAGAGTCACCCCTGCCATGGAAAGCACTTTTCACTGGGGAAGTGATGTGAGTCTTTCGGGATTGGTTTTGATTAAAGCAATCATTGCAGCTTTCTCCACTAAAAGGACCATGATGGACTTCCTGCTTCTCGTAACTGTTCTCTACACACCCAAGCCGTATTTTATGATTGTAGACAAATGAATAAGGCAAATGTATAAGACAAATGAATAAGAGCAGATACTGAGCTAGTGAATAATTCATGTCAAGCAGCATGAGCAACTGACAGCATCATCAAAATGTACAACTATATGGTTGGGCTTTTCCCCAGCTGTAAAGTTGCACTTACGTGCCACAGGGTCCCTTCATTCCGTTTCCAAGGATCTAAAGTTCCCCTCTGGAAGTTTTATTCACAGAATCATGAAAGTTTAGAGCTGGAATGCAATGTGATGGTTTGGGACTCTTTGGATCTCTGTCTCCTGAACTTTAAAAAGTGGTCTTTAAAAATTAAAATATGCCTATGAGGATGAGCCCAGCAATAGGTAATAATATTCGCTGTAATCGTTTAATGACTTACCAAATTGTATTTCTTCTTATGAGGAAGCCCCAAGACCTGTGAGAGAATAATGCTAAGAGAAAGAGCAAGCAAAATTTCATGAATGTTCTTGAGAAAGTGGAAGCGGGGACGAGGTGTTCTCGAAGGCCTCGTGGGGCTCAGTGCTGCATGTGACTAAGCGCTGCCACTAGGCACCCGTGATGTGAGTGTGAGAGCAGCTAGGGGAAAGCGGTGTGTCCTGTGAAAAGGACTTCTCACTCAAGAGCCTGGTTCATTTAGAGTGCCTGGAATTCCTTGAGATTTGAGGAAGAGTGAAGAGATGAGACAGGAGGAGACGATTTTTCTGAAATGAGTGTCTTTCTCAGCAGAGTACATCCAGGCAGTCCTGACCCTTTGCCCTGGCACTAAGAGACACTGTGGTGTCTGTGGAAACCACAGCCACGATTGCACTGCAGTGCCTGAGTGCCTCCCGCTTTTTGTGCTTGGAATGCTGATTTCAGAAAACATGACTAGCTGCAGTAGTCAGAACTGGGTAGTACACTGGTGACTAGGAACTGCGGTTAGCCTCTCGTGTCTCAGGGAGTTCCTGTAGACACACAAACATGGTTTCCCTTCCCATTCTGCCATCTTGGTGGTTTCAGCACTCCTGGCTTCCAGTCTTCTGACCAGGAGTTAGGTATCTTCATCATGGCTGGAATGGAGCTACCACGACACTAGTCTCCCAAACCTTAAACACCGCTGTTCTCTCTCTGCTAACCTGGGACACACGGCTCTGTGAAGTTTTCCTTATCTAGTTTTTGTTGCCGAAGATTGCCTGCTTCGAGGGTGTATTATTTCATTATAGCTGTGTGAGATAATCTAATCTCCTGGTTTCTGTATTTCACATTCATCTTTTGTTACAAATTATATCTAAAAAGATCTGGCCTCTGTTCTAGCTCCAGAATACTTGTTTAGCAGCCCAAAGAAAATGGAGGCAGAAAGAATAGTATTTGTGAGCATACATATTTGTAGGATTAGTCTGGCAGGGAGCTTTATGGAAACAGATGTGAAAATGCATGTTGACCACAAGCAGGACCATGCTCTAATCCAAGGACTGAATTTGAAACCAATGAGGAAAACCTATGAATTTAAGGTATTTTCAGCAATATATTCTTGTTTTTTTTTTATTTACCTCTTTCTCTGGCCTAGTTTTTTCAGATTCAATCCCAGACTAGAGCCAGGAGGTAGAGGCCATGATTCCTTGGCCTCGTGAGATTATAATTTAGGAATGATATCAATACCACATGACTGTGAGGTGATTTATATTGTGTATAGTGCATTCACACCCATTTGCTAATTTTTTCCCATGATCTAACTTTTGGCCTTAATGGCAACTTGATATTATCCCCACTTTACAAATGAAGAATCTAGTAAGTGGTAGAGTTGGGATCGTGACAAATAATTATGAGGCAAAATACATGATTTTGTTATATTTATGATCCCATCTTCTTTCCTTTTTTTTTTTGAGTTGGAGTCTCACTCTGTCGTCCAGGCTGGAGTATAGTCACAGCCAGTGATATACTCACGGCCACCCCAGCATCAACCTGCTGGGCTCTGGTGAGCCTTCCGCCTCAGCCTTCCAAGTAGCCAGAACTACAGGTGCATGGTACCACGCCAGGCTAATTTTTGATTTTTATTGTAGAGATGAGTTCTCACAAAGTTGCCCAGACTGGTCTAAAACCTGTGGGCTCAGGAAGTCCTCTCACCTCGGCCTCCCAAAGTGCTGGGAATACAGTTCTTTGTCTTTAAAGAACTTCTTTGAATCTCTGATTAACAGAAGGAGATGGCTTGAGGTTAAAAGCTGACCAGCAGAGGCTTTGAGGAAGAGATGGTCTTCTAGAGCAGACAGGGAGAAGTGGAATGGCTGTGATATATACACGATTATGGCAGACCTTGTCAAATTCCCTCCAAAGTGGCTGTATCACAGTGAGCGCTCTCACCCAGGGATATGAACGTCTCTGTCTCCTATTTCCTACTTTAAAATGTTTGCTCAGGCCATTGCATTACTAGGATCTAGTGTGGCTATGTGCTCTTTGAACTACGAGCCGCCTGAGGTGAATCTCCTCTCTCTTCTCTCTCTCTAATTTGCTTTCCAAAAAAACTATATTTTTCAATCTTAAAAAAAAGTTTGTTAAGCTGATGGATAAAGAATGGCATCTTAATTTGCATTCTCCTGACTACAGGAGGAGTGGACCATCTATGTTTATTAGCCACTTGGATTTGCTCTTCTGGAAGTTACCTGGATGTATTCTTTGCCCATTTTCTATTGGGTTATCTTTTTCTATTAATTTATTATCATTTTTAATGTATTCTAGACCATAATCCTTTGTCTACTATATCTAGTGAATATGTTCTCCTAGTCTGTAATTTTTACTTATTTGTGTACTTAAAAAGTAACAAAGAAGACATAATAAGAAAATGAGTGTTATATGTCAAAAAGAAATACTTAAGGTATTGGTTTAATGTGAGTGTTTAGAGAAAAAAATAAGTGGAATTTAGAATTAAGTCCTGAAGAATGGGTATGGTTTAGAAAAGAGAAGGAAAGCAGCATGAAAAAATTAGACATTGCCAAGTAAGAAAATTCTCGGCACATTCCAGAACTATTGAGAGAATTGACCCGGCAGAAATAGAGAATTCTCATTGGATTATACTGAAGATGAAATCAGATAAATGGGTTTTGCTTATGCTGAAGGACCTTAAATGCCAGTGAGAAATTCAGAATTCATCCTATGAGAATTTTTTAATTGAAACATGATATCCAATCGATATTTTGAACAAATTAACCTGACTACAGCATGCAAGGTGACTTGAGGGCAGGAAGTCATGGATATTGAAGGTGTCCACTGGTGCCAAACATGAGTTAAGTTGGCAAAGGAGTGAATAAAAGGAAAGGGAATAATTAAGGAGATGTTTTAAAGCAAAAAATATCAGGTTTGGTGATTGATTGGATGCCCTGGGTAGTGGTGATGCTGTAGATTATTGAGAGGGAGAACTGAGCTTTGATGGGGAAATGGCATTAAATCCTGGAAACTGATCAAAGATGAGGACAGAGGGCTGAGCGGAATTGGTGTCTTTGAGACTGCAATTTTAGACAACTACAGGATGGAACACAGAAGACAAGTTAAAGTTTTAGCAATGAATGGAAACTTAATCAACGGATGAAGGCATTAGGGCAGAGATGAAGACTCATTTACTTTGAAGGGAGAAGAGAAGCCAATATAGAAAGGGCCGTTCCTCTCTGCAACATGACTTGGTTTTTGGACCACCTGTTGGCTTCAGATGACATCTCCCAGGCCACCCCTAGGGATGAGGATGACGGAGCTTGGTGAATGTTGTCTCTGCAGGGCGACCCTGTATTCGGAAGTCCTTCTGTGGGACAGCATGTGAGATTCTCAGGGAGCCTGTTAACTAATTAAGGGAAAACCCTCTGCCAGGGGTGAGCCACTGTGGTGCTCCATACTGATTGCAGAGTCACTCTTGAAAACTGTGCTTTTAAATAATACAGGACATGGCAGGATCTATATGAAAAGATGCAGTTCGGGGCTAACATTCACCTTGTCTTGGGCATACACCGCTTGGTGATTTAAGGCGAGGTCTGATTTCTCTAGTGATCACTTAACACAGCTTCTCTTTTTCTTCAAAGTGCCCTTAATCACATTTTCCTTAAACGTAGTTGTGGTCCACAGGCAACAAGATAGCCGAAGTCTGTGGGTTGGAGCTGTGCAGCAGCCTGACCCACCTCAGCCTGGCCAACAACAGGATCACAGCCGTCAGCGGCTTAAACACACTACCAATCAAAGTGCTTTGTCTGGTGAGTCCAACATACGTTGTTCTTTATAGGAGAGGAGATGACGTTTTGGTGAATGCGTGAATTATGACTACTGAGAATTTTTCAAGTCATACAGAGCTGATTCCTTCATCAAATGTTATTGTTTTCAGTTTTGTTTGCTCCTCTCTGTATGTCGTGTATGTGTATGTGTGAGAGAGAGAGAGAGATCAATATTTCATGCTAAAGTAAAATGATTCTCTAATTTGACATCCAAATTCAGTTTTCTAAAAGATTGGCTTTTTTTTACACTGGGTAAGAAAGGTATACTTTTAGTGAGTATTTAAAAATGCATTTTATAATATCTTGTTGGTGAAAATAACATCAAAGCATAGTGTTATTATTGTTAACATTTTATTGCTTTCAAATGAAACACAAAATGTTTTCCAGGCCCTGAATTTTGTCAGTCTTTCATATTAATACATGCTCGTCTCCCATTATAGAAAATCAGAAATAGTGCTAGTTTAAATTTGATTATTTTCCCCCTAAAGACAGCACTCTTTTAAAGCTATGTAACATGCTGTGTGACTATGACTCAATGAAAATTGAGATCATTAACAGAAATTCAGCAGGATTCAAATAGTACCAAAGACACACACAGTATTTTTAAGACAACAGCATACCTCTCTGAGTTGGTGGCTGATAATATTATTCTTCTCCTTTGCTGTGGATTTGCTGTTCGTGACCTCCATCACAGGGTAGGCAGGGAGGATTTCAAGTCATGAGGCTTGTCGCTTATTACTGTCTTACGCGAACTATCCCAGCGAGGATGTCGACCCATTGTTTGAAATGATGTCTTGGGTCATCTGTGAACTTTTGATGTATACACAACACTATTCCTGTCTTGCTTAGCCAGAGGGCACTGAAGCTTGGCTGTGTGTTCACTTTTCTTTCCCTGAGCGTAGAGAATGAGAGGTGTTTCTAGAAACTTTTCTACCCCACAGTGAGGGTGACTACTGGCATCCCAGTGCTGAGGATGAAGTCGAGTGTGGAAAGGCTCAATGACTGTCCTGAGCATTCATGTTTCTGCTCTTGAAGCTATGTCAGCAAGGCATAAGTGAGGATGAATTTTACCAATCAGATTGAAAATGTTACCACAGCCGGGCTCTGTGGCTCGGCCGGTAATCCCGCGCCTTTGGGAAGCTGAGGTGAGTAGATTGCCTGAGTCCGCGAGTTCAAGACCCTGGGCAGCGAGACCTCATCTCTACAATAAATCAAAATATCAGCCAGGCGTGGTAGCGCGCACCTGTAATTCTGGATACTCGGAAGGCTGAGGCGGAAGGATCGTCAGAGCCCGCAGGTCGAGGCTGTGGTGGCTGGGAGCGGCCACTGCACTCCAGTCTGGGCGACAGAGTGAGACTCCAACTCAAAAAAAAAAAAAAGAAAAAGAAAATGTTACCACTGGAAAAGAAAGGAACGTTTTACAATTGTGATGGTCTGGAGGATTATTGGCAGCCTGTGCTATTCATGTTGTAGTTTGCTAGAATCCCGTTCTACTCTTCACACATTTTCTCTGTGTTGACATGCCCCAGTACTTCAAGTGGAGCATGGTGAGTGGAAAGAGATGGGATGTGCAAAAGAAATGAGAAGGAACTCATTATTTAGAATAACAGCATATAGCTCTGTTGTCCTAAGAGTTTGTTTCAATAGATAAATAGGTAATTCCAAGTTCTGTCCCAAGTAGCTTCTAGAAAAGGCATACCTTTGTTCTCTTCGATTTGGTGGCTTGTTCACAGTCCCTGCCGTCATTATCCAAGATGCACTAGAAAATACAGAATACACTGTCATTCATTTTCCTTAATTTTTTTGAGAGTACGAAGGTTTGCTTTTCCAAATTTTAATAAAGTCTATGAAGAGGCACATTTGTTTCAACAGTTTTTAATGCTTTTATTTTTAAGTCTTGGAGTCAGAAAACAAATCACTTTAGTCATTAATGAAAATAATTTACATTAAAATTTAGAGAAAGAAGAACACTTCACTGTACAAACCAACTTTTAATTCTCAGCCATCTACTTTTATGATGAATGTAAACGGAACATGTGGCCCACGCATAGGCTGTTCTGTCTCCCAGATGCTTAGCAGGTCATGGCAGTACATTCCAAACTTCAAAATACACTTGTCATAGTAGGAGCTGCCAGGTATTTCCTCCAAAATTGGTAGGTTAGGAATGTCCTAATTTCATATATTTTAACAAAGCCTTCTCTTTCCCCACTCATCATTATAAAACACGCAGGAGGAACTCTTTGTGCAAAACTCAGAGACCACATTTCGGAGCAGAGCATTGGACAAAGCGTTTAACTTGATGGCTTCCAATTCAGAAAATCTGTGATTCTGAAATTTTCTCAGTTCTGGTTTCTTTTATGATCATAGACTATCTAATTAAGCTTTTCTTTGTCACATTCTATCCACATCATCTGTCATTTGAAAGCCATCAGCGACACTGTAAGAAGAATGACAGTCTATCTACCACATCTAAGGCACCTCCATGTTCTCTGGGAAGAGATGTCTATAAATTTGATATGTGAGCATATTTTGAATAGGATATTGAGGTCTTATTGCAATATGTTAATATGAATACAATGTTAAGTTTTGTGTCATTTTTTAATTTCCCTTTTCTGTTACACTTTTTGAACTCTGAACAGTAAGAAATTTGACTTTACTTTGGCAACTGGGTTGTGAGTATTTTTTCTATTTATTATGAAACTTTTCAAACATATATAAAAATAAAAGGAATAGTGTAGTAAACCCTTGTGTGCTATCACCCAGCTTTGTAGATTATCAACATTCTGTTAACATGCCTTTAAGAGCCACAGAATTATACTAACGAACACAAATCTTGCTCATTATTGAAATGAAATTTTATAAAAATTTCTACTCCAACTGTAGTGACTTGGAGAAATAGCCATTTTAATAGCTACCAGTCTGCATTCTGGGTTGGGCTCAGCTGGATGGTTCTTCCACTGGCTTTCAGCACTCAGCTGGCATGTTGATCAGGGGCTTGACTCAGTTAGAATGACTGGGATTTTCTCTCAATTTAGCCTCAGGGCCTCTCTCTGTGTGAACATGTCCTTCCTCTTGCAGCCTCTCCACAAATTGCCTCCAATAAAGTAGCTGCAGTTCTTATTTGGTAGCTCAGGGCTCCCAAGGCACAAGCAGGGGCTGCCAGGCCCTCCTAAGTCTCAGGCTTGGTCCTGGCACACATCTGCCATATGCTTTGGTTAAGACAAGTCATAGGTCTAGCCTGGACTTAAGAGATGTGAATTGCATGAAAGCAGGAATATCTGGAAACTTGTTGGAGACCACAGCCCATGTGACATGAAGTGATTATATGTGGAGTGCCTCTGAAAACAAAATGTATGTGGGAATTATAATGGTGATGGAAGAATTGCACTACCCTCCTATTTCTGAAGATAAACACGGAATCGTGCTACCATGAGGCTGTAGGTGTACAATGCTAAAAGCCCACACTACCTGGCCTTTGTTTTTCTCACTGATGAGAAAGGAAGTTATCTTCATCAACTTTAAGGAAAATGTTATGTTCTGAGTCTTTCAGCTAAAACCCTCGGACTTATTTCTAGGGTCTGTGTATGCATTTAGGGAGGTGGGTAATGGAAATGGAGTGTGGGGAGGGACTCTGATGGACTGTTGACTTTTTAAGAGATCTGGGGCAGTATCCCAAGTGACACCTTGCCATTACAACTTGTCCTATGAGAGGCCTTTAAGACATGAAGTTTATTTTGTTTCTTTTAGAGCAATAACCAGATCGAGAAGATCACAGGCTTGGAGGATCTGCAAGTCCTGCAGAATCTGGACCTGTCGCACAATCAGATAAGCAGCCTCCAAGGCTTGGAGAATCATGACCTCCTGGAAGTGATCAACCTGGAGGGTAACAAGGTGATGCTTCACACGTCTCAGTGCAGTGTCTACATAAGAGCACATGTCAGAGACTTGGTGCAGATGTTCTCTCACTGGTTTCTCAAGGGCCGTCCCAGGCAATGCTGGAGAAATGTTCTGGAAGACTTCCTAGGGCAGTAGTTGCAGAAGGACTACTTTTAAAAATAAGTGCAATTCTTAATTTTTGGAAATTTGATGATTCCCTGTTGTTTTAAAGGTTTAAACTGCAACCACATGTGCCTGGTTTTCAGAAGCAGACGTGTTCATACAAAAGTTTACGTAGAAGGATGGCGTTAGGAATGTCTGAAATGTCAGGGCAGGGAGACTGGAGGTGTGAGAACACCCCAGGATCGACCATTTAAAATGATGTCTGCCCAGGAGTGAACATGGCATTTTGTATTACATTTTATAGGAACTTTTTTGATTATTAGTGAGGCTAAACATTTTTTTCTATCTGTTTGTCAATCACTTGGTTTTCTTTTTTAAAATTGTGTATTTGTCCAAGGCCATGGCAGCCTGATGGCGCGGGATCTCCTGAGAGCTTGTGAAGCTAAGCAGGATCCAGCCGGGTTACTCTGGCTGGGTGCAGTGGCTCAAGCCTGTAATCCCAGCACTTTGGGAGGCCAAGGTGAGAGGATTGCCTGAGCCCAGGGTTTCCAGACCAGCCTGGGCGACTTGACAAGACCTCAACTCTACAATAAATAAAAAAATTAGCCGGGTGTAGTAGCGCTCCTGTAGTTCCAGTTACTTGGAAGGCTGAGGTGGAAGGATTGCCTGAGCCCAGCAGGTCGAGGCTGTGGTGGCCGTGAGCGTGCCAGTGCACTCCAGCCTGGGCAACAGAGTGAGACTCTGACTAAAAATAAATAAATAAATAAAAAATAAAAACTGTGTATTCTTGCCCTTAACTATCATTTATTTTATTACCATTCTTCTTTTGCTTTTCATTATGTTTACTGAAGTTCTGATATACATATTAAAATAATTTTTTTTTTTTGAGTTGGAGTCTCACTCTGTCACCCAGACTGGAGTGCAGTGGCCACTCCCGGACACCGCAGCCTCGACCTACTGGGCTCTGGCGATCCTTCTGCCTCAGCCTTCCAAGTAGCTGGAACTACAGGCGTGTGCTAGCACGCCCGGCTAATTTTTTGATTTATTATAGAGATGAAGTCTCACCAAGTTGCCCAGGCGGGTCTCGAACCCACGGGCTCAGGCAATCCACTCACCTCAGCCTCCCAAAGCGTGGGATTACAGGCTGAGCCACCAAGCCCAGGTTAAAATAATTTTTATATCAATGTTTTTCTTTGTGTCTTACTTTATTTTTAAAGTTTTTATGGAAATTTTTTTTCATTCTGAAATCAGATAGTGTTCACCTTAACTCTTTTTTTTCTGTTTTCTTTTATTGCTTTCATCTCTTAATTCATCATTTATTTTATGGTATAATTGAGACGAAAATTTAAATTTATGGGAGGATAATATCTACTGTTTTGTAGCACAGTGGTGTGACTATGGTTAATGATAACTTATTGAATGTTTCCAAATAACTAAAAGAGTAGAATTAAAATGTTCCTAACACAAAGAAATGATAAATGTTTTGGTGATGAATGCTCCAACTACCCTGATTTGATCATTACATGTTGTATGCTTGTATCAAAATATCATATGTACCTTACAAATATGTGTAACCATTGTGTAACCACACGGTTTAAAAATTTACTTGTTTTCAATATCTCATAGTCATATGATGATAGCTATCATTTATTGAGTACTTGTTATATACCCAGTCCTGTGCTAAATAATTCTCATTTGTTAACTCATTTAGCCAAGATGCTGTTGAAGAATATAATTTTCTCACTGATCTGTGGCTCACTTTTTAAATACACACCATTCTTATTTCTACCAAAATCCTTCTAAAATGCATAAAATTGAAATAAAACTATATTTAGTTTAGTGGAGATTTCAGGACTGCTGCAATCCAAGCTCTATCCCTGGTCAAATTAAGGAACTTTTTAGTAATTTTTTTTATTCCTTTCCCCCCTTTTAAAAATTGTGAAATGTAACCTATTCAGAAAGGATCTGTTTTCTGAACTCTTTATCTTGTTTCCCTGATCCATCTGTGGATTTGTATTCCAGTCATGAACCTATCATCACCATCGTCATCAATTAGTTGATAGAGCCTACAGTTTGAAAAATAGGTTTTCTGTACAGATTCGTGTATAAATGCAGTAGTTAAAAAAAATTAATGGTTACACTCAAAAGTTTTTTAAGGAGACAGATGTGTGTGTGTGTGTGTGTGTGTGTGTGTGTGTGTGTGTGTGTGTTACACCTATAAATTTATAGATATTAAACATTTTTCTAAAGAAAGGCCTTAACAAGTTCCTGTATCTCCGGATGCTGATGCTTGGGGAACATGGCCTGGAAGAAAATGGCAAAAAAAAAGAGAAGTCAACAGACTTGTAGAGGGTAGACGGTGGTCTACAGGGCCAGAGAGGTTGGAGAAGGGGTGGGCTGAAGTCTGGCATCAGCGGGCAGGTATGATGGTCTTGGCAGCAGAGAGCCACAGTTCCTGTAGGAATGCAACCTTTCTGGTGACATTCCCCACAAGTCATGGAGTGCTGTGGCCACTGCACCTACAGTAGATGTCTACTACGCACACTGCCAAGGCGTGTGACCTTTGCAGGGAGAAGACAGGAGAGTGGGTCCGTGCAGTGAGCTTGTGCAGGAGGGGGCTTACCTGAGGGCCGGTGTCTGTTGCTCTTGCTAGTTCAAGAGTGGGAGGGAAGCCAGGACCCACGCTTGCCTCTTTCACCTCACCTTACCCTTGGCAGGTCTGGGAGGAAAGCCAGATGCTTGCCCTTGACTGGCAGAAGACCAGCTGATGTCTTAGTGGTGATGCAGTTATAAAGTCCATGGCCATTGTGTTCATGGTGTTTGCAACATGTCAAGGAGAATTTTCCATGCTGATCACCATAAATATCACCATTTTCTGAAATGAACATATAATCTATTATGAGACTCTTATAATCACATGATGATGGAGTTCTTGAGAGTTTAGAAATATCTTACTTTTAGTGACAACATTAGACCAAGCATTCTTGTATCTAACTTTTGTCTGTCTGATGATCTCTTTGGTATAAATCTCTTGAAGGGGGACAGCTGGTTCACAGCTCTGCTCATGAAACACATCGGGTTGCCCTTTGGAAAGAGGGGACCAAGTTCCATTATCACCAGCCATGTTTACAAGTGCATGTGGCCAGGATTCATCGGTGGGACATAACGAGTGCAGGAACACATCTCTTCCTAACATTGGTGAAGGTCCAAGAACAAGAGCTGTATGCTAGAGGGAAAGCAATCCATTGTTGGAAAATTCTGACTGGACCATGTGAACCAAGTTTACTTTTCCACCTTCCTGAATAACACAATATAAAACAATTAGGATCCCTTTTTTTGGAGTCAGAGTCTCACTCTGTGACCCAGGCTAGAGAGTGCAGTGGTACGATCGTAGCTTGCTGCATCCTCCACCTCCTGGGCTCAGACGATCCTTCCTCCTCAACCTCCTGAGTACTTTCTGAGCTGGGACTACAGCTGCCACCACACCTGGCTAATTTTTCTTTTTTTTTTTTTGTAGATACAAGGTCTTGCTATACTGCCTAGGCATGTCTCAAACTCCTGAGTTCAAGCAGTCCTCCTGCCTCGGCCTCCCAAATTGCTGGGTTGACAGGAATGACATTTGGCCAGCATGGCCAGGATCTCCTTTTTAAGATACATGGTCCAAATGGGCCATTCATGGACAGTGTAGTCCTGTTATGGGAAAAGATGTGTATAATAGCCCAAAGTAGCCCAATGTTGCCCTAACCAGATTAACGTGTGTCGGTTGTATATTGCAACTCTGGAGTCTGCTTTTCATACTATATCTTTAAAATTGGCATCCTTTGAATATGGCACATGTGTTTGTCCCCTGGCCTAGCTTTGGGTCCAGTTTAAAGTTTAGCTGTGTTTTGTGATTGAATAGCTCAGGAGTTTATTGGTGACCCTGCTGATGGAGTGCTTTTACAATGAGTGCAGAAGTGATCTGGAGAAAAACAGAAATGGAAAAGTGGTTAGTAAGTTTCTGAAAAGTTCAGTATCTATACGTGACATGAAATTATAAGTGTGCTAATTACAGAAAATTTAAATGAAACCATTTGTCTTTAGTTTAGTGTAGACTTCAGGCCTGCTGCAGCCTAAGCTGTATCCCTGGTCAGATTCAGGAATTGTCAAGCAATCTTCTCTTCTCTTCTCTTCTTAAAATTGTGACACACAACCTATATGGAAATGTGTATAACAAATGTACAGATCAGCTAAAAATGTTAAGGGGAGCAGTAGACACCCATCAAGAAATACGTCATGCAGTTTTCCATTTGTACCTTTCCTTGAAGTAATTATTTTGTGGAAAGAGCGATAGAGCCAGATGTGCTCATGCAATCAGAGGGCATTCACAGATGCAGGTGACCAGGGTAGCAGCAGCTGCATGGGAGAGGGTGGTGGGGACTGGATGGCTAGATCGGGCTGGAGGCGGGTGGGAACCAGGTTGTTCTCATGTGCATGCTTTGTGCTGTTCTCCTGACTTTATGTGCTATCTTATTTCTGCCTTCAAATGAACGTGAATAAGAGGAGGAATCTTTCTGTTCTCTAACCAGAGAGAAAAAAGGAAAATGTGACTGTGTGCATTCACATGTATTGAAGGGGCTGGCAATAATTTTTTGTTCCATGTAGCTCGGTGGAATTCCCATTAAAAAGCGGGATATTTGCCGGGCTCTGTGGCTCAGCCTGTAATCCTGTGCCTTTGGGAGGCTGAGGTGAGTGGATTGCCTGAGCCCGCGGGTTCGAGACCCGCCTGGGCTGGCGAGACCTCATCTCTACAATAAATTAAAAAATCAGCCGGGTGTGGTAGCGCGCACCTGTAATTCTGGCTACTTGGAAGGCTGAGGCGGAAGGATCGCCGGAGCCCAGCAGGTCGAGGCTGCGATGGCTGGCAGCAGCCACTGTACTCCAGTCTGGGCGACAGAGCGAGACTCCAACTCAAAAAAAAAAAAAAAAAGCGGGATATTCAACAGAGCAATTTTTAAAATAAATTAAATTTAAAGGATCCAAACTAGCTCCTATTGTATTAGTTTTCTATTGTCTTTGTGCATCTAGTCTGTTGATAATATGAATTTTTTATTTGATTAAACAGATTGCTGAGCTGAAAGAAATAGAATATATTGAGAATCTACCTATTCTTAGAGTTCTCAATCTTCTAAGAAACCCAATTCAGGTAAGAGATCATTTCTGCTGGGAGGGTGGAGAGGGAGAAAAAGGAGTGAGGAGGAGGAAGTGAGAGGAGGGAGAGAGGAAGGAGGAGGGGGTGGAAAAGGGTAGAGGGGACAGTGGGGGAGGGGAGGGAGAAGGATAAAGAGGAGGAGAAAAGGAAGACAGAAGGGAATGGGAAAGAGGGAAGGGGAAGGGGGAGAGG